TGCCCGATGCCAAAGTTAGACCCTTGGGACTATAGCAGTAGTTCCTGCCATTCCCTCACATTCACCAATCACTTCCCTCCCCTTCAGTTGTTCTTTTCGATGTTGTTATTTTATTATCCCATTTCTGGAAACTGTGAATCATAGCTTTGGTAGATCTGATGAGCCTGTGTGCAGATATTGTTATCTCTTGTGGTTACTCAACGTTCCCTAACAGCTCTAACGTTTCGTAATTGTTTGGGGTTCTATGTAAACATAACACAATTAAAATTCTGGCAGTGTAAACATTTCCTTTATTTTATACAGATGCCCCATTACTGAAGATAATTCTTCAATTTTTTTCCTTCCTCGTTGAGTTCTCCAAGGAGTCGAGACAAGTTCATTTGTTTCCTAGATGTCTTGCTTTGCCTTTGCTTCCTTCGAAGGAAGGAAGGAAGGGAAAAGAAAGAAAGAAAGAAAGAGGGAGGAAGGAAGGAAAAGAAAGAAAAGAAAGAAAAAGAAAGAAGAAAGAAAGAAAGAGGGAAAGAAAGGGAGGAAGGAAGGAAGGAAGGAAGGAAAAAGAAAGAAAAAGAGGAAGGAAGGAAGGAAAAGAAAGAAAAGAAAAAGAAAGAAAAAGAAAGAAAGAGGAAGGAAGGAAAAAAGAGGAAAGGAAAGAAGGAAGAAAGAGAAAGAAAAGAAAAAGGGAGGGAGGGAGGAAAGAAAAGAGGGAAGGAAGGAAGGAAGGAAGAAAAAGAAAGAAAGAAAGAAAGAAAGAAAGAAAGAAAGAAAGAAAGAAAGAAAGAAAGAAAGAAAGAAAGAAAGAAAGAAAGAAAGAAAAATAACTTCCAGTCCACTGCTTCCCAGCCCTGATGATATTACCTAGTTTGGTCATGAAACGTCAGAGAGCACCAAGGACTCCACTTCAACTCCGATATACCATTTTAATGATTCTTTTTAAAAATGCCAGGCTTTCCTTTTAGCAGAAATTCTGGATCAAATATTCCCGTCATGCTAAAAACTCAGTTTCCAAGATCCCAACAGAAGGGAGATAGCTGAACTTAATGCTCACATCATTTGTTCTCTTGGACATCTGTTGATTCCCTGAGACGGATGGATCCTAATTTACGGTGACGTTCGTTCAAGAAACAAATCTTTTCCAAAAGGACAACTCCCATATTTCCCCCCCCCCCCCCGGCTCATCCTCAAACGCGCTCACTGGAGATCTTATTCCAAAAAAACTGTTGGTGACGCGAACCCAACAGATCAAGGTCCCCTTTTTTTTTATCCATTTATACAATTCCCTTTCCTTGTTTAGCCAACAGAGTTGCTAAGGTTTTTTAGAAGAAATGTAAACGTCTCAAAAGCCGATTGAATTCTTGACTTTAGACAGGGGTAGGCAACCTTGGCTCTTTTACGACTCGTGGACTTCATAGCTGGCTCAGGAATTCTGGGAGTTGAAGTCCACGAGTCATCAAAGAGCCAAGGTTGCCTAGCCCTGCTTTAGGAGAATCCGGACATTCAAACGTTGCTTTGGTACAGAGATCCAAATAGCTTTTGATTGTTAAAGAGGGAAAACAGGTATCTGGCAAGGAAATCTGAACGTGGGAAAGACAGCAGAACCCATAGTTGGTGGTGATCACGGTGTCTGAGTAGGTGAGAACTTCAGAAAAGTACATTCAGGCCTGTTCAACTCTGCTGAAGTAGAGGATGGAAAAAAGCAGAAAAATATTTTCCAAACATTTTCCTGCTTCTGTGGGGTGGTGGTCAGGTGGCTAGTGGAAAATTCATCTCCTGGAAAGTTAGGGAATGAATGTCCACAGAGAAAAGCAACAAAGAGGATCAGGGGACTGGAGGCTAAAACACATAAGAAACGGTTGCTGGAATTGGGTATGTCTAGTTTAACGAAGAGAAAGACGAGGGGGGACATGATAGCAGCGTTCCAATATCTCAGGGGCTGCCCCAAAGAAGAGGGAGTCAAGCTATTTTCCAAAGCGCCTGAAGGCAGGACAAGAAGCAACTGATGGAAACTCACCAAGGAGAGAAGCAACCTAGAACTAAGGAGAAATTTCCTGTTAGAACAATTAACCAGTGGAACAACCTGCCTCCAGAAGTTGTGAATGCTCCAACAGTGGAAGTTTTTAAGAAGAGACTGGACAGCCTTTTGTCTGAAATGATATATAGGGCTTCCTGCCTGAGCAGGAGGCTGGACTAGACATACCCAATTTTTATCAATGTCAGAATACTTTTGACAGTTATTTTCTAGATGAGACATTGGCAAAAGTGGCAATAATTGTAATGGAAAATCTTGCTTAATTTTTTTAAATATCCAGCTCTTCCCTATGAAATGGATTGTTTATTTGTTTATCAAGATTTCAATTATTGAGCAACTGTGTACCTACTAAAACCTGAAATGGGATAGGGTCTCCTGCTTGAGCAAGGAGTTGGAGTAGATGACCTCCAAGGTCCCTTCTAGCTCTATTCTGATTACATTACATATTTGTCTGAAATGGGATAGGGTCTCCTGCTTGAGCAGGGGGTTGGACTAGATGACCTCCAAGGTCCCTTCCAGCTCTATTCTGATTACATTACATATTTGTCTGAAATAGGATAGGAGGGTCTCCTGCTTGAGCAGAGGGTTGGACTAGATGACCTCCAAGGTCCCTTCCAGCTCTATTTCAATTACATTATATATTTGTCTGAAAAGGGATAGGGTCTCCTGCTTGAGCAGGGGGTTGGACTAGATGACCTCAAAGGTCCCTTCCAGCTCTATTCTAAATAGGATAGGAGGGTCTCCTGCTTGAGCAGGGGGTTGGACTAGATGACATCCAAGGTCCCTTCCAGCTCTATTTCAATTACATTATATATTTGTCTGAAAAGGGATAGGGTCTCCTGCTTGAGCAGGGGGTTGGACTAGATGACCTCCAAGGTCCCTTCCAGCTCTATTTCAATTACATTACATACATATTTGTCTGAAATGGGATAGGGTCTCCTGCTGGAGCAGGGGATGGACTAGAAAACCTCCAAGCTCCCTTCCAACTCTTGTCATTCTGAAAAGTCCAGAAAAAAAGACAAATAACCTTTCCCACCGCCCCCTCATCTACAGCCCCTGGAGACCCCACCACCACCTTGTACAACAGGTTGCCTCAAGACCGTAGCTCTTTGTGCCCCCCATAGACCTAGCCTCCTTACCTTTGCAGGTGAGCCACGTTTTTGAGAACGTTTGGAGGCAGGCATAGTCCTACAGTATTTTATTTTTTTTTGTAGATGTTCTTCAGAGAAGAAAAGTGGAAGCTGAAATGTATTGGAGAGCGTGGGAAAATATCCCTGGAGAAGATCTCCAGCTGATGGGAGAGCAGAAGGATTTCAGACCTTTACAGGAAAGTCTGAACCTGTTCAGCAAAACTGCTGGCTGAAGAATGCAGAAACAGACCACAAGCAATCAAGGGGACAGGAGCCTGCAGGTCTGGGTCTATTTAAACTGTCTGAAGACACACAGGAACTAACAGAGAGAGGGAGGGAGCAAAGAGGGAGAAAAGCAGGTGTCACTTACTAACTGAAGGAAGAACTGGAAACTGAAAAAAGCACAAGAGAACAGAAATGAAAGTGAAACTTAAAAGACAAACAAAGGAAAGCAATCAGAAAGTGAAAGCCTTTGGAAAAGGGAAAAAAGAAACTTAGGCAACAACCAAGAGAAGGTGGAAATAAATCAAATCTCTATTCAATTAGAAATTTAACCTGTGCATTCACCGAATGAAGTTTTATTATGTGAGATTATATATTTTTATTATTAAATCTCTGATTTCAGTTAGTTTTGGTCACCACCATGTAAAAAAAAAGATGTTGAGACTCTAGACCAGGGGTAGGCAACCTCGTCTCTTTTATGACTCATCGACTTCAACTCCCAGAATTCCTGAGTCAGCTATGCTG